AAATAAGTACACTATAAGAAGTATGGTATATAAATGGTGCCACCAATTGGGACATCATGTTTCTGTTAGGAGGGCTGAGATTAAGGCACTTCACAGCAGATTCTTTCCTGGGAATGACCTCTTATGACCTTTAAGACTCCTGGTTTCCTCCTGGAAAAGTTTGCCCTAAATCAAACTGTTTTTTCTCTCTCAGAAACCACATAGATTAAAACATGCAGTCGACTTAAAAGTCAGGTTGAAGGGAATGCTGAAGACTCCTACAGGCCAAGCTAATCAGATCCTACTTATTTAATTTTATAAGACATTGGAGAGCCATTCTTCAAGATCAGACTGCAAAGTCTGTTGGAAGGGTAAAGAGTGGAGCAAAGGGAACCAGTGAGGAGGATTAGTGAGGAAATATGGGGCCAGAAAAAGCCAAGCATCTGCTGGTATAGAAGGGAGAAGAAGGAACTCAAGAGGTATCTCTAGGACAGAATGAACAAAGTTAATGACTGACTTGGGTGGCTGGGTGGGTGGTGGGGAAGGGACGTGCAGAAGAATACATCAAAGCTTTATTGGAATCAGTTAGAAACCACTGGGATGGAGATCTTCAACTGTGACCTCAATGAATGAGCCCTGCGAGTTCGATCTCCTCCAACGATTTCCATTCACCAGCGGCAGCACTTGGATCCGTTAATATCAGTCACCTCCAGGGAAGCTTTATACCTACATTTTCCCATAGGTTCACCTAAATTCTCTCTAGATTCTCTCCATTATTCACCTCCATGGGCCTTCATTGTCATTCATGATCTCCCATTTTTAAATTCCCAATCTCTGTGCTGCCCCTCACCGTATTTCTACTTCATTATTAGAAGGAAAGGAAGCCACCAGCTTTCCTGTATCTCACAAGGGGCACAGGCTGGGGGATTACCTTTTCAGCACTCCTTTGACCTTAGTTCCAGGACTTTGGTGACTCAAGGCTGAGGGGAAGGATGGGTGGGGGTGGGGGGCAGGGCAGATGACCAGGGGGAGTTGGGTGCAGGGTGGGGTACCAGTCTTCAGACTGGTGGGCATGAACAAATGAACCAGCTGTGGAGGGCTGAGAGGGAAGAGCGTGGTTGAAAGGGTGAGGGAAGCAGGTCACTGGCGGAGGTGGTGTTGGGTAGGAGTAGGGGCAAGCAGGGGGCTCAGGCAAGAGACCAGAGAATGCAGCAGGCGACAGATGGACCAGTGGCTGCACAAGTGACCTCTCTTGCTTCCTCTGCTTAGCTCTGCGGTTCTGGAACCAGACCTGAGGAGGCGGAGAAAAGCCACATCAGAACCCCTCTCTCAAATAGGCAGGCCTGTCCCACGAGGCCCTCCTCCTCCCCCACCACACACACACACAATGACAGAAGGTACAAGTCCAGGATGTAAGCCTCATTCTCATTGCAGAGGAAGTCAAGCTCTTCCAGAAGGCATGGCTGAGCTTGGCCTACTGCCAAGCAAGACCCACACCATGTCTAAATTTGCCCTCCTCCAAATTTGGGCAAGTAACAAATGTCAACTTCCAACAAGAAAAAGATAAATATGATTTGATGACATTTTCCCTCCTGAGAGAATGGGAAATTTCCCTTATGGTGATTAGAGATTAAGACTAGGATGAGTTTATTGGGGTTGGATTTAGTGTAGGGCTTATACTTAAGATTGATTCATTCTGTGGTTTGGACTGAGGGCTGGTTTAGTTTCAAGGCCAAGGTTAGGGACAAGGTTAGGTATGTATGTGGACAGCTAATACTGAATTTCTGTTGGTATTCACATCACTCTTAAGGCTGGGGTAGATGTGGAAATTTGAGTTGGATTAGGGTAGAGCAGGGGTTAAATGCAAGCAATATTAAGACAGCTGTCATTGACTCCTGGATGAGGCTATGTCCTGGGTTAGGGCTCTAGTGCCCCTGAGAGGGCATGGCCTAGGACTTCCTGAGCACCAAATCTGCTTTTTTTCCCAGGAAAAGTTGGTCTCCTGGAGCATCACCTGGATTCTGGCCTCACTGAGGCCTGTGTCCCGGGCAAGGCGCTCTCGGGCCCAGATATCGGGGTACTGGTTCCTCCCAAAGGCTGACTCCAGCTGCAGCAACTGCCCTGCGCTGAAGGTGGTGCGGTGCCGGCGCCGGGAGTGCATGTGACCCCTCTGTCCTTGCGGGGAAAGCTGTGGCCTCCCCACTCCTGCACCAGACAGGTTCCTATAGGGCCGCGTGGTCATGTCTGAGGATAGAGGGGAATGCAGAGGTTGCCGCCGAGAGACCCACGCATCCATCATCCATCCCAGACCACATATGCTGGTCCTCCAGGTTCTATTCAGTGCCCCTATGCGGCTCATGCACTCTGCCCCAGCAGAAATCCTTCAGCTTTCATAACCAGCTGAACCCAGCTGGGCTGGGCCCCTGCTTCACCTGGGTGTCCTCACCCAAGCTGTGCCCTCCACGTGGGGTACATGACTCAGACTCACCCAGAGCCTGTCACTCATGCCTGTATGCTCCCTCCCACCCACCGTTCCTGCAACACCCTCCATGTGCCTTACACCTCTATGAGCACGCATCCTGCCCTCCAGGTCTCACCCCTTGGGTCCCCTCTTGCTCTGACAAAACCGTCCAGCTGTCTTAGACCCCGTTACCTGCTCGTGGCTCTTCCAGCTCACATCCAACTAGCGCTTCCTTATAGGGCTCCCACCCTCCGGTGCACTTCGCCTGGGAGGATGAAACGTCCCTCTTCTTCTGCTCAGGCACACCCTCCCCTCACAAACATTTCATCTTCTCCCCTGGCCCGGCCCTGGCCCGGCCGCTGGGCTGCAGGAACCTGAGCTCGTGGGAAAGGATGGCCTCTCCTCCCCACAGGCTCACTAAGCCCCACACTAATTAGTCTGAGAGCCAGCCGGGCAGCAGAGAACACGGAGCGAAAGGGAACACCTGGAAGGCACAATCTGAGAAAAGGAGATGTCTGCGCTGGGGCACCCATCCCCATGGGGAACCTGGAGGTGGACCCCACCCAGTGCTCCCTGTCCCCTTCGGGGTCATGCGTGCATGGAGCCGCTGGCCCCTCCAGCTCCCTCCCCGGAGAAGGCAGTGCGGTGGGCAACTCCAAGGTCAAGAGTGCCGAGTGAGGAGCCAGATCTCAGTGTTGCCTCTCCCTCCGGGCGTGTGCTCTTCGGCAGCCCGTCAGGGCCCAGGCTTTGGCTGTCCAGTCTGTAAAGCCAAGGAACCGCACAACCCTGTAAGGGGCCCACGGTTTTGACATTCTACCACTTTGTTCTCTCTCTTCCTCACCTTCCTACTGGTGCCCCGCCGCCTCTCAGGAGCCTATGCACGGAGCCCCCATGCCTGCTGCCTCCCAGGACCCCGGAGATCCACTCACCCACTGTGGAGGTCAGGGGCCCAGCGTCTGGGTAGCTCTCGGACCAGAGGCCACTGCAAGCTCGGGCCCTCTTCTGCTCACCCTGCTCACTCTTTCCTTGGGCTTCCATGACTCCCGACAAAGACCAAAGGCAGTCTCCTGCCTCCAAGGCCCCAATACCGGGCCGTCTGCCTCTGCTTCTGCTGTTCCCTCCTCCCTCTGTTCCTACCCCTTTCCCTCCGTGTGGATATAGATGTCTTTGTCTTTCTTTTCTTTGTAATGTTGTCTCCTGTTCTCTATTTTCTTTCTACTCCATTCCTTTGCTGGCAGATCATCATATTCTCTGTCCTGCCCTCACCTTCTTTCTTTGGTCCTGCCTACTTTTCTCTCCCCTTGCTCTCAGCTGCCTACTTCCCTGGCTTGCAACCCCACACCAGCCCCTTCTCCCCAAGCCTCAGAGGAGTGACCTCTGCCTCGCCCCTGGGGGCTCATCCAATCGTTGCCTGGTCACCAGAGCCCCCTTCAACAGGGGAGGATCACAAGCCGGATGAGGGAAGGTGCTCTGTTGGAGGGTCCAGGGACTGGGGCCAAGAGCTCGTATTCCCAGAGGACCAAGTTCTTTTGTCCTGTTAAATCCCCTCCTGGGAGCAGGCAGGGGAAGGAGGAGTAAATGCATTCCTCCTAAGACCCCCTCCTCAGAACCCCACAGTCGGGGGAGATGAAGAGGGGGTGCACATGGGGGCCAGGAGCAGGGCCTGCCTGGCATCTCAGCACCCGGGCAATACCCAAGGACCGGTTTCCAGGACACTAAAAAACTAAAAGGTACAGTGCAATCTGGCCCCTCCTAGATGCCCTGATTCTCAGAACACACTAAGCACCCCTCAAGACAGCCTGAACTCTAGGATGAGTCTCCAGGATACCATAGCTCTCAAGCACTCTTCTGTTTTCCTCCCCCGAACATCATCTCCTCATTCACTCAGGACCCTCAAGAACATCTGAATCCCAGGTGCATTATCCTGGCCTCCCTGGACTTCAGAACTCTGCAGGAGACTGAGATTCCCATGACATCCTGACATTCTGACTCTTCAAGGAAACCCTGACACTCCAGAATCCCCAAGCAAGCAGGACACCCTGATACCCAGGGGGCTCAGCTTCTTGAGGTTAATTAGACCCAGGAGGTACATTCTGACATCCCAGGGCATCATGACCTTTTAAAGACAGCCTGACACCCTAGGACTGTAGGGTCCTCTAGGACACACTGAAGCCCAGAACAGTCCATGTCTAGTGGGAGATCCTCCTGCCCTTGCCATGAAATTCTGACGTCCCAGGACACACCGCCCCTCTTGGACTGGACCCACAGGGCAGTCTGGTCCTCAAGGTCATGCGAACCCTTCACACACATCCTTTAAATGCACCTTGACAGTTCAAGACAAAAACCCATCGTAATCCTCTGGGATCCGATCCATGCATCAGTGGCATCCAAGCAAATGAGAATTTGATGGAAATGCAGACCCTTGGGCCCCACCTCAGTCCTGCTGAATCAGAACCTGCATTCTAACAACACCCCCAGAAGAACCAAATGTACATTTCTCTCAGTCAGTTCGGGCTGCCACAACAAAATACCAAAGGCTGCTTAACCAGTAGACATTTATTTCTCATGGTTCTTGACTGGGAAGTCCAAGACCACAGTGCCAGTTGATTCAGTTCTTGGTGAGGCTCTTTTCCCGGGTTGCAGGCAGCTGCCTTCTGCATCTTCACACGGTGGGGAGGGAACCAGCTCTGGTTTCTCAGCCTCTTCCTATAAAGACACTGAATCCATCATGGGGGCGCCAACCCATATTCTCACTGGAGATTAGGGCTTCAACATATGAACTGGGGTGTGGGGTTGGGGGCGGATATTCAGTCCCTATGAACATTAAAGTCAGGAAGCCTGATCCAAGACACCGACCCCTTTCCTCCATCCCAAGATATACTGTGATCTCCTAGAGCAACCTGAGCCCCATGATAGTCCAGTAATGTGGAGTCATTTGGACCCACAATCAAACACTGAATTCCAAAATACCCTGCTGCCTCAAGCTACCCAACCCTACAAGAGAACCCTGGCCAGCCACCCAGGAGAGCCAGATTGCCCCAGGACACTGATATTACAAAGAAACTCTGATCCACTACCCCTGATCCCCAATGACACTGAGACACAAATTTGACTTGATATCCCAGAATACCATAATCCCTCAGGAGGCTGGGAGATTTAGAGGTATTTGGTCTTCCAGGGTGTCCTGATTCCTACCTTCAGACCTGATCTTCCGGGAAGCCTTGCACCCAGGATCCTCTCACCCTATGAGAAGCAGAATGGTGTGGTGGGGAAGAGCATAGGTTCAGGAGCCAGCAGGCTGTCATGGGTTCAAGTCTAGCTACACATTTACTGGCTATGTTATTCTGAGCTCATTACTTAATATCTCTGTGCCTCAGCTTTCTCATCTAAGGATAATAATACAGTTTATTCTTTTTATTTGAGGTAGTTATGTTACATAAAGTCACTACAAACACTGAATTAGGGAACCTATTTCTCCTAGGAGCCATTAATAGTTCGCTCCCTAATGCAATGTTTGTATAACCTCATGGAACATAGGCCTCCAGCCGCAACATTTTTGTCACTTGATTAATACATAACTTTGTTACGTGTGTGTTTCTGTTTAAAGACGCATTATTTTACACACATTATTTACTAACATTAAACTATGACTTATGCCTGAACAAAGCCTATCTAAACATAATTTCCTCCATAATGCACACCATGGCCTTTCTGCACTTAGGAATACCAGACAGTATGCCGTTACTATGTTTGAGGCCATTTTAAATGGCAAAATTACCCCCCAAAAGCACAAAAATCTGAAAATTGACAGCACCAAATAGATCACAAAAGGCACCTGTTTGCAGTATGAGATCTAAACAGGAAAGCAGAGCGGTCACCTTGGTAGACCTCAGCTGGGGACGTAGCAACTCAAATATTTCATCCCTCTGCACATGTACATGAATGCAAATATCCACAGAAATGCCAAAGAGCAGTGCAAAGGAGTATTGATCTTGGAGTTACAGATACATTTTGGTGAGTAAGCAAATTCACAAACAATAAGAATAAACTGTGGCTACCTGGTGAAGTTGTAATGATAGTTAATAAAAGAGAAGCATTTAGAACTGTACCTGGATCATGGCAAACACAGACAAAAATGCTACTTTATTGCCATTATTTTTAGTGTTATTACCACAGTCCCTAGGAGACTCTAGCTTTCAGAGTCATTCTGAGCCTATCAGATTCCTGAATCCCTAGGGCACAAAAGATATTTCACTCTCTAGGACACATGGGCCCTCCAGGAAGTTTTGACTTCTAGTACCTTATAGTCATCATAATAGCCTGAATTCACAATAACTCCATGACCCTGTAGGACATCCGGACCCACAAGGGCATGATGAGATTTGGGAACCTCTGACCCTGTAAGGAATTCCCTGGCCTGAAAGGATCCATAGACTCAAGGGGATCTGGCCCCCAAAACCTTTCATTTGGCTCTTATCTTGCAGAAGAAATGCCAACACTGAAAAACCATTCATGCTGCATCACACAAGCCTGACTCAGAGGACATTTGGACCAAGTGAAGACATATCCTGGTCTCCCAAGGCACCCCGACGGTCCAATGTATGCAGGCACATTAGGACATCTGGTGCTGGCACACGCTAACCTTCCCGTGTGCTCAGCGCAGGACTTCTCAGTCACTGCCACCTCCCCTGCCTCCAACACACAGACAGCCCAGAACAGCTTTGACCCACCAGGACCTCCTGAATCCATGAGGTGATTATTCGAACCCTCAAGAAATCGGGGCCTCTCAAGAAAACCATTCCCCACAAGACACTCTCACTCCACAGCATTCCCTGAACTGCCAAGACATCTTGACTTCCTGGATGCTCTCACCCCTGTCTTGCATCCTCTGCTCCTCCAGGACCTCCTGAGCAGTTATCTGTGCACCAGTGTTCATAGCAGCATTATTCACAAATAGCGAAAAGGTGGAAACCACCCACTATCCATTGGCAGATGAATGGATAGATAAAATGTGTTATATACATACAATGGAATATTATTCAGCCTTCAAAAGGAATGAGATTTTTGACACATGCTACAACATGGATAAACCCTGAGAATATGCTAAGTGAAATAAGCCAGACACAAAAGGGAAGTAGGATATGATTCCACTTAACATGAAGTACATAGAATAGCCACATTCATATAGACAGAAAGTGAATGGTGGTTACTAGGGCCCGGGGAGAATGGGGAGTTGGTGTTTAATGGGCACAGAGTTTTAGTTTGGGAAGATGAAGAAGTTCTGGAGAGAGAGGCTTAGTGATAATTACACAAAAATGTGATTGTACTTAATGCCGCTGAACTGTACTTAAAAATGGTTAAGGTGGTAAATTTTATGGATATTTTATCACAATTTCTATATACAATATAAGGAAATTGATTTATTCCTTTTATCCAAGAGAAGTATTACTTTGCTTACATTTTCCATTCCATTTCCTGCATTCTTGATTTCCGGCAAGTATACTATCCTTATATACAGATCACGTGTCTTCCTTTTACCCTTTTCTCTCTGTTTTGTGGCCTCTTCCCATGGCAACCATTGTAGTTATCTAGAGGATTTTCCCTAAGGCACTAATTGTTTTTAGTTCCTCACTTTTCTGAATGTATTAATAGTTCTGTAACTGTATTGTTTTGGTTCTCCATTTGTTCCTGTATCTTTGCATTCAATACTTTCATTGCATTCTATTGTCTTAGATTTCTTTTCTTACTGATTTCTTGTTCCTTTTGCAATCCTTAAAAGCATGTCTTTGCTGAGGATATGTCACTCACTCTTTTCCTGCAGGACTGGTGTCCTCTTTCCTTCTTGCTCTGCGTGCCTGGTGGAGGAGAAAGACTTTATTATCTTTGCATAGTTGCCATTCTTTCTTGTTTTTAAACTAACTCTCATTTTGCAAAGGACTCTTGGATTTAAACCATCTATTCATCCTAATATATTTAAGGGAATTCTCCTCTACTCCATTCTTAGGCTCTCTGAGACCTGTTGGCCTTTTCTCAAAGTTCCAGTTTGTGAATTGTGTATTGCTTATTCTTTTCTTTTAAGACAGCTCAAGAGTGGTAGGCTAGGGCTCTAGACCCTCACCACTGATGGGTGTTAGTATCAGGTCTGCTGTATATAACAGCAAAGGATGTGGCTTAGATGAGATAGTTAATTTCTACCACATAAAACAAGTTCTAATAGGTATTCCAAGGCTGGCATTCTAAGTTGATTCTAATATTGAATTCTAAGTGATTGTTTATTTCAGGAACATCCAAAAGTTGTACAAGAAAAAAAAGTAAGATTAGTAAACCAACAACGTATAACAGAGTCAGAATGTCAATAATAGTGACACACCCCAAAACTCTGATGTAACTCTATTAGGAGGCTTTGGGGAAGAGGAAATGAGATAGTGGAGTGTTATTATTTACCACCTGTCAAATGGGAAGAGAATAGGTAACATTGGAAATAAATGATCAGAAAATAATAGCATTATTAGCATATTATTTAGAACTATATAAAAGTATATTGAGAATTAGAACCCAGGTCTGGTGAGATGGAGGGTAGGGGACTAGGTTTTTCATTTAAAGATTTGTTTAATTTTTAAAGCAATGTTAAACTATTTATTTAACTAAAATAACTTTTTAAAAATGCTTTATTTATTTATTTACTTTTATATTCTATCATTACTATTATTGTTTTGGTAGTGTCTGTCTGGTTTTGGTATTAGAGTAATACTGATGTCATAGAGTGATTTTGGGAGTATGTCCTCCTCTTGTATTTTTTTGGAATACTTTAAGAAGGATAGGTATTCCTATTAGCTTGTCTTTAAATGTTTGGTAGAATTCACCCATGGAGCAATCTGGTCCTGGACTTTTGTATTTTGGGAGTTTTTTGATCGCCAGTTCAATTTCATTACTAGTAATTGGTCTGTTCAGAGTTACTCTTTCTTCCTGGGTCAGTCTTGGAAGATTGTGTTTTTAGGAATTTATCAATTTCTTCTAGGCATATAATTTTTCAGAGTTGCCTTTTTGTTCTGCTGATAGTGTCCTTTGCTGTAAAGAAGCTTTTTAGTTTAATGTAGTCCCACTTGTTCATTTTTTATTTTGTTTCCTTTGCCTGAGGGGATAAGTCCAGCAAAAAACTGTTCATGCTTATGTTCAAGAGATTTTTGCCTATGTTTTCTTCTAAAATTTTTATGGTTTCATGTCTTACATTTAGGTCTTTGATCCATTTTGAATTTCCTTTTGTGTATGGAGTTAAACAGTAATCCAGTTTAATTATCTTGCATGTAGCTGCTCAGTTTCCCAACACCAATTACTGAAGAGACTTTTTCCCATTGTATATCCATGGCTCCTTTATTATATATTAATTGACCATATACGTGTGGGTTTATATATGGGCTCTCTATTCTATTCCATTGATCTATAGGTCTGTTCTTGTGCCAATACCATACTGTTTTGATTACTGTAGCTTTGTAGTATATTTTGAGGTCAGGGTGTGTAATGCTTCTGGCTTTCTGTTTTTCTCAGGATTGTTTTGACTATTTTGGGTCTTTTGTGGTTCCATATGAATTTTAGGATTATTTGCTCTAGTTCACTGAAAAATGCCATTGGCATTTTGATAGGGATTGCATTGAATGGGTAAATTTCTTTGGGCAGGATGGCCATTTTGACAATGTTAATTCTTCCTTTCCATGAGCATGGGATAGATTTCTATTTATTTGTGTCTTCTTTAATTTGTCTCATAGGTGTCTTATAGTTTTCAGAGTACAGGTCTTTCACCTCCTTGGTTAGGTTTATTCCTAGGTATTTTATTCTTTTTGGTCCAATTGTAAATAGAATTGTTTTCCTGATTTCTCTTTCTGCTGGTTTGTTGTTAGTTTGTTCTTTCTGCTAGTTCATTGTTAGTATATAAGAACACAAGAACTCTTGGTTTCATTGATTTTTTTTCTATTGCTTTATTCTCTATTTTATTTTTTTCTGCTCTGATCTTTAGTATGTCTCTCCTTTTACTAACTTTGTGCTTTGTTCCTCTTTTTCTAGTTCCTTTAGTTGTATGGTTAGATTGTTTATTTGGGGTTGTTTTTATTTCTTGAAGTAAGCTTGTATTGCTGTGAACTTCCCTCTTAAAACTGCTTTTGCTGCATCCCACATATTTTGAATTGTTGTGCTTCTGTTTGTATTTCTTTACATGTATTATTTGATTTCCTCTTTGATATGTTCTTTGATCCATTGATTATTTAGTTTATATTGTTTAGCCTCCACGTGTTTGTTTTTCTTCTAGTTTTTCTCTTGTAATTGATTTCTAGTTTCATATCATTGTGACCTGAGAATATGAATGATACAATTTTAATTAAATTAAATGTAATTTAATTTTTAAAATTTGTTGATACTTGTTTTGTGTCATAATATGTGATCTGTTTTGAAGAATGTTCCATGTGCACTTGAGAAAAATGTATATCTTGTTGCTTTTGGATAGAATTTTCTGAATATATCTGTTAAGTTCATCTGGTCTAATATGTCATTCAATATCTCTATTTTCTTGTTTATATCCTGTCTGGATGCTATATCCATTGATTAAGTGGGGTATTAAAGTCCCCTACTATTATTGTTTTGCTGTCAATTACTCCTTGGTCTGTTAGTATTTGGTTTATATATTTAAGTGCTCCTATGTTGGACCCATAGATGTTTATGATTGTTATATCCTCCTGTTGGACTGATCCCTTTATCATTATGTAATGTCCTTCTTTGTGTCTTGTTACTTTCTTTGTTTTGAAGTCTATTTAGTCTGATATAAGTATTGCAACTCCAGTTTTTTAAAATCCTTATTTGCATGAAATATCTTTTTCTATCTCTTCAGTTTTAGTCTGTGTATGTCTTTTGGTCTGAAGTGAGTCTCTTGTACATAGCAAATAGATGGGTCTTGTTTTTTATCCACTCAGTCACCCTATGCCTTTTGATAGAGATACTTAGTCTATTTACATTTGAGTATCTATATGTATGTACTTATTACCATTTTAATAAATGTTTCCTGGTTGTTTTCATTATTTCTTCATTATTAAAAAAGCATGAAAGGCTATTTTTCCCACAGGTTTTTATATTAGTTTTTCCTTTAATTTATAAATCATTTGGTTTTAATTTCCTTTTTCATATGGGTATTATGAAGAACATTTTTTAGTTTTATCAACTGGACATTTCCTTTTACATTCTAATTTTTGGTTTCTAATTTTTGGCTTTGTGATAGAAGCTGTAAAAGAATGTATCCTATGAAATCAATGTTTGAAGATTCTATCATGAACTTTCTGTTGTAGCCAAGAAGATGGTCAATATTTGTCATTGTTTTAAGCTTAAAATAAGAATGTTTATTCTCCATTTACAGGGTGGAAATACATATATTTAATATGTACATATTTTTTAATCAAAATTCTTATTTTAAACTCTGCCATATTTATTAACTACTTTATCAAATTATGAGAAATGTATGTTTAAGTCTATCATTAAGATATTAATTTAATCTTTAAAAATTTTTGTGAGGCTTTGCCTTATTAAGCTATTGCTACATATTGTTTGATGTTTCAAAATGGTTATTAAGTTCTACGAATTTTTCCTTTGTCATAAAAGGAAAAATTTTTTCCTCTTTTGTGATTTATGCTTGTGATTGACTTAATTACTGCTTTATCTGTAATTAATAGTGCCACCCTTAAAGGAATTAATGTTAGGGGCATACTTGTCACTTTGTTCTGTGTTTCCTGGTTGCTCTTTTGCTCTTCTCTGACTCTTCTTCTCTTGCTCTCTTGAAATGTGCTTTATGACTTTCTTTAGTTTTGTAGGTTTTTGGTTTGATTACAGTGGCTTCTTATATGACATCCTATGTATATAGCTGTAAGATAAATTCTAGCCAAAATAAGCAGGCGAAGAGAGGCAACAAAGGCCAGGTAGTTTATTTGAATGCAAACCCCCCGAGCGAGATTTCCCCAGTCTACAGAAATAGAGGCTGGGGAATTCACGCGTAAACAGACAGGCAGCGAGTTTTTAAAGAAGGTAGGGGGAGGCTATCTCTTCTGTGAGATAGAAAGCCTAAAGGAGGCTACAGTGGTAGAAATGCCCTACGTAGAAGTGACATAAGAGTGCAGGAAAGCGTTTCCTCCTGGAGAACTGCCTTTTGTTAGGGAGAATGGATTATATGTATTTTACAATGATCATCTTTCTTTCCCCAGCCAGACCCAGGAGGAATCTTTCTCTAGCCTTCACTGTGAGTACTCGGTGGGATTCCTGGTGGTTAAACTTCAGGAGTTTCTCACTCTGGTGCTAAACCATGCTCTTCTGTCTCCTGCAATATGCCAGAATTACCATCCAGGTAATTACTCATTTATAGCCCTGGTTGAGTCTGCTCCACGTTAGCATGTCTCCTCTGTGAATCTTGGGCTCACCTGTCTCTCCAGATTTCAGGTTGTCAATTATCCCAGTGACCCCAGTTCTCTGATTGGTTAAGAGAAGTCATTGATTTTCAATTTGTTCAGCCTTTTCTTGTAAGGACAGTTGTGATGACTTCCAAGCTCTTCACATGTCGGAGCTGAAAATGGAGTCCCTTCGATAAGCTGTAAGATGTACCCATCTGTTCTGTCCTTGCCAGCTCCTTAAAGGATCGGGCCCCTGCTGACTTGCTCTCCTGGCGATAGGTGGAGCACTAGAATTACATCTGTACCCAACAGTCTGCAGGTCTGCAGTCCTCCCTCACCGCTGCCTCCGCGCCTCTCCATGCCTGCAGCTGTCCCAGTCTCTGCTCCCCTGTGGCCGGGCAGCAGCCCTGCGGCCGTGCCACCGTGTCTCCAGCACACTGAAACTTGAAGGGCGCCTTCCAGCTTAGCTCGGAAATGCCTTTCTTCTGATGACGTGTGATGATAAAACACCGATGCGGTGAGGTGAAGTGAGGTGAAGGGCGCCGGCGTTGTGACGTAGCATCAGGCTGCTCTTGGACTTCTGCTGATTGGTCAGGAGGATCGCCCGCTTTCGGACTACGGACGGCATTTGATTGTCTTGCCCCTTTAGGCCACTTTAACAAAAGTACAACAGACTGGGTGGCTTATAAGCAACAGAAGGTTTCTGTATATATATATATGGAGGTTGAAAAGTCCAAGATCAAGGGGCCAGCTGATTCAGTGTCTAGTGAAGACTTGTTTTCTGAGCTATAGGCAATTATCTTCTCACTGGAGGAAGGGCGATGGTCACTTAAATTTGAACGCATTCTAACATATATTTTTATTCCCCCTTCTCCAAAATTTATGGTATATGGTGTACAGTATCTTCTTTTACAACTTTTTGTTTAGTGATTCCTATAACTTTTAGATGTAATTGACTTTACTGTCTTTTTGACCATACTAGCTTTTAAGTGATTAATTTACTATATGTTTGCTTTTACCAGTGAAATTTTTTCCTTCCATAATTTTATATTGACTATATTCCAATAAAAAAAAAGCCATGAAAGGAAAAAAAATAGTACCACCCTGTTCTCTTCTTTTTGCCTTTACCCAATACATCTTGGCCCAATTTCATGTATATATATATATATTTTTTTTTTTGAGAGGGTTTTGAGAGGGCATCTCTCATATTTATTGATCAAATGGTTGTTAACAGTTAACAACAATAAAATTCTGTACAGGGGACTCAATGCACAATCATTAAACCACCCCATAGAGGGATCGGCTTGGGGTGAGTCCAGGTGCAAAGCAGCCTCAGTTTAAGGTCCATGAACACAAACAGTGCTGAAGATCTGTCAGATGTCTCAGAGTGGGTCACACGCTAAGGAGACTCACAGAGATTAACACATGGAGCCAGACATCAACATATTTAAGTTATGCAAAATGGACGTTACTGTCAAGAGGACTGGTAAGAGCACTGGCTCCCTGTCAGGAAAGCTGCCTGGGAAGTTGAATTAAAATTCAGAGGTGGTGGTGAGTATCCAGTCAGAGTGAGAGGAATTTGCTATATGACCTATTCATTGTGGGATCTCAATTTATTGGTGTTTAAGCCATGAAATGAAAGCAACTTTTTTTCTAGTAGCTTGTCTTCTATTGATAGGTGTCATAAAAACATCCTGGTCATGTTCTACCGTTTGAAGCCATCATATATTATAAAAATTTATCTTATTCAGTAGCAAAAAACATTCAAAGACTTCAGTCTGTGTTCCACCCTTCCACAGTGTTTCCTGGACTGCGGTGTGGCTGAGGAGGGAGTGGCGTTCAATGTGTTTAAGTCTCAGGCACCTCACTTTGCTAAAACTAGTTGTTCCTGCATTGGAGCAAGAAAGAGAGGAAATCCAGAGGCTGTTACCCTCCCTGACCACCCAAGGAAGCTGCCCTTCTTTTGGGGGTGTTTGTTGCTTTTCTGGTTGTTACTGACTGAGGCAGGAAAACAAAAGCCAGCTCCCTTATGGATTCGTCTCTGTGGGTTCCTCCAGAGGAACCTCCAGAGGGTGTTGGAGGCAGGAGATCCAGCTCTCATCAGTTTGTGCTGGGTGGCCCCAGCACATGGGTGACGGCATGCAGGCAAGCACACAGGTAGCTTCTCTGCCATCCCGTTCCCAGCTCTGCCATCTCTACCCAGTTTCCTCGTCCCTGCTCAGAGAAAGCAAGGGCTGGCCAACAAGCTCAGCAGCTAAGCCAGAAAACCACCGATGGTCTCCCATCATGCAAGCATCTCCCAGTCTTTGGAGGGATTTCCACCTAGCTCACCTCAGGTTTGAGGACCAGGAAGTGCTCTCTCATCTCCCAATGTGATATGATGAGAGGACTTGGACTTCCTTGAGGATGACTGCTCTTTGTCCTGGCACCCCTCTTCCCATAGTGACTTGGCGGGTAGGGGCAGTGTTGATTGTCCTCCTGGTAGGATCGTCCCAGTAAACACTGACAGGACATGACTAACCTTAATGTTGGCACTCTCTCAACAGAGTTCGTGTTATATAAAGCCTCTTGTCCTGTTCTTGGCCTTACGCAGTTTCCAGGCAATAGGAAAAACCTCCCTGCCATCCTGCTATACCTTTCTCACCTTTTACTACCATTTCCATTATAGGGAACAGCCTGCCATTAAGACCAGGGCACAGTGAAGAAAGCTGTACAAGTATTGCATTGGGTTTTCCTGGATGCAACCTCTGACCCCCAACCTGTATATTCTTCGTTAATCACCGCTTCTCTGGAGTGTGGCTCTGCCTACCACCTGGTACTGCCCTTTCACCCTTTACTTCTGTGATATAATTTATGAGAAAATGACTTAAATATGGTTTTATTAATTTCACCCTGAAAATGCTAGGACACTCCACTGCTGCAATGTAATGTACAACCCACAACTAATCTCCTGTATTGCCTGTGACATCCTCTGCCCCAGCCAGTCAAGACACTTAACCTGCTGTGAGACCCCCTTCCTCCTCCTGTTTAACCCTGGCCTTAGTCCTTAGCAGAAATGCCATTTCCTCTCCTCTCTACTGTCCACATGCTGTGACTTCTTCCATGGCTATTGCATCCACAATGCTTTATCTGATTCTTCTTGTCTGTATTGATTCTTTAAGGGCTGGAATTATCACTTGAATGTACCTCCATAATTTTGCTCTATGAATCTCTTTTTCCTCTTCAAAAATAATACAAACTACCACAACAAGTTGATCTTATTTTGATTAACATAAGGCAGAAAGGAAGTTTCTTTGCAGAATCCTCTGCATACACCCTCACTAGCATGGTTAGCTCATCCGGGCCAATGGTTGGGAGCTACTGCAAGGACATTTCGATGCCATGCAGTCACAAGGTTGAGGATAAGCCACCTGACAGATTCTCAAAGTAATATAATCTTGGGAAAATGAATTTGAATGCGTTGTATAAAGCAGCATTTTATTCAGGTAAAAGAACTGATGGCCTTAAAAAATATCTAAATCTTCTTGCTTCACTTTTTTCCATCTGCTTAATTAAGCTTATTTCTAAAATGTACAGATTTAAAAAGGCTATAATGAGAAAATGCATATAAAGTGGTAGTATACAGTGCTTGGCACTTGGTTATGTTTTCAATAAATGATATCTAATAAGAAGTTGGAGGTAGAGCTAAGGAGAAATGTAAAGAAAAGGACACTTTAGCTGTTGGGGACTGCAAATTTTAGTTCTGCCAGTCTAATCTGTCATCACCTAATCTCTCTGAGTTCAGTTGCTTTATCTCTGATTATCTTGTCATTGTCAGATAAAAAGAAATTATGTATGTGAAAATACTTTGTACAAATCAGATATTCACAAAATGCTAGTGAAGTATGAACTAGGCTGTATGTAATCAAAGATAACTAAATATAAATTTAAATTATAGAAATTAACTTCAAAGGATTATTGAATGTGAGTTAATTCTCAATGACAAAAGCATTATTGTAAGAACTTTGCTCAAATGATGACATATCAATCTATCTACTTTTATATTTGAAGTGATATTAATAAACAAACTTTGGATCTGGTATGATTAAAAAGTTACAATCTCTAAACAATAGACAGAGCCCAATTAATAAAATTTTACTTTTGACCACATTTTCTCCCCTGCAGACATGGACAGAGACAACCAGACTAGAGTGGCAGGATTCCTTCTCCTGGGACTCTCTGGGCAGTCAGGGCAGGAAGAGGTCCTCTTTGGGCTATTCCTGTGGATGTACCTGGTCACCGTCATCGGGAACTCTCTCATCGTCTTGGCCATCAGCTGTGACAGTCATCTCCATACGCCCATGTACTTCCTCTTGGCCAGCCTCTCCTGTGTCGACATCTGCTTTTCCTCAGTCACCGTCCCAAAGATGCTGCTGAATCACACTCTGGGAAGCAAGTCTATCTGCTATGTGGAATGTATGACCCAGATCTACTTCTTTATCACTTTCATCAACATGGATGGGTTCCTCCTGAGTGTGATGGCCTATGACCGGTACGTGGCCATCTGCTGCCCCCTCCACTACACCGTGATCATGAAGCCCAAGCTCTGTATCCTGCTGGTGGCTGCATCCTGGGTCATCACAAACCTGCATGCTCTCCTGCACACTCTCCTCATGGCCCAGCTCACGTTCTGCTCCAACAATACTGTGCATCACTTTTTCTGTGACCCTTATGCAGTTCTAAAGCTGTCTTGTTCTGATACCTTTATCAACGAGTTGATGGTGTCTGTTGCAGGTGGACTTATGTCTCTTACACCATTCACATGTATCACTGTTTCATATGCCTATATCTTCTCTGATGTACTGAAGTTGCCATCTACCCATGGAATAAGTAAAGCCCTGTCCACATGCGGATCCCACCTGACTGTGGTCTCCCTCTTCTATGGGGCCATCTTGGGGGTCTATATGCGCCCTTCATCCTCCTACTCAGTACAAGACACGGTGGCCACTGTCATCTTCACAGTGGTGACTTCCTTGGCAAATCCCTTCATCTACAGCCTGCGAAATCGTGACATGAAGGCAGCCTTAAGGAAACTAATTATGAGGAGACTAATCTTGTCAAGACCCTAGAATTAGAAAATTTTAGAGCTGAAACAGCTGTTGGAAATCATGCATTTCTTCATTTTTCAAGAGACTCTCAGGCCCAGATAGGCGCAAAATTCACCCATGACTATTTCTCTAATTAGTTCTAGATCATGATCACATTTTAAAATGAAGCTGACAGGGGTTCATAAGTTGTGAAATCATTCATTTGTTGCCTATAGGAAGGGCTAATACTATGACCGTCATTATACAGTAAAAACTAGACCGAGGCCCAGGTGAATTAGATGACTGATCCAGGTGACACCTGGATGCATTTTTTAAGGATGAGTCTAGCAATGCTACAAGATATTGGCCACCTCAATGGGACGGGAATCGCAAATGACCTTAGAAACAGGCTTTTTAGACTCTATTGCTCTATATGATCTCTCATGTAAAAAGTGAAGAAGCCATGTTTAGATTGGTTTGGATTTGAGATTTCAGAAGCAGGAAAAGCAGAAAATAGGCTACATATGCCAGCTGAGAGCTATATATGCTAATAGAATTTTACCAATCTCACCCCAATTATCCTACTGTGCATAATAATAAATTAAATACAACTGACACTTATCAAGTGATTTCAATATGCTCAAGACTATCTCTGTATTATTTTACTTAATCTTCATACAACCTTATGAGGTGATACTATAAATATTCCCATTTTACAGTGAGGAAATGGAGTCACAGGGAATACTCATCCAAGCACACACAACTACTAACTATTGGAGCCAGAATAGTTGCAACCATTTCCTCTTCAGGTACTTGGTGATTTTCTTCTTTTACTTTTTGGTTGTTATTTTTATTATTTTAAAACTCGTATACAGTAAAATTGACCTTTTTTTAAACATACAGTTCTATGAGCTTTAAGACACCTTTAGATTTGTATAACCATCACAACTACCAGGATAAATAACAGTTCTATCTCCTGAAGTAGTTCATCCATGCAGTCCCTTTGTAGTCCAAGTCTCCCTCCACTCCTAACCCCTGAAAACCAGTAATATATTCACTCTCTGTTTTGCTTTTTCCAGAATGTTGTATAGATGGAATCACAATGTATGTAACCTGTTTAGTCTTATTTTTTTCTTTTGGCATCTGCTTTTGGGATTCATCCAGTTGTTGTGTATATCAATAATTTGCTCCTGTTATTGCTGAGTAGGATTCCACTGAATGAATGGAAAACTGTGAAATGAATGGAAAATACTGTAAAAATGAGCATACAGGTTTTGTGTTTCTATTTCCCTAGGGAAATATACAGAAGATTCTTGGGTCATATATAACTGTATATTTAAATTTACAGAAATTACCAAACCATTTCCCATAGCAGCTATGATATTTTGGATTCCCACCTGCAATCCAGGAGAGATCCAGTTGTCTGCCTTCTCACCAGCCCTTGGTACTGTCAGTGTGTAATAGTATTTTTATGGGATCTAATTTTGAATTTTTCTAATTGCAAAGGATATTGAGCATCTTTTCATGTGCTTATTTGCTATCTATATATTTTCTTTGGTGGAATGTCTGTTCAAATAATTTGCACATTTTGTGAATTAATTTTTCACTATTGATTTTTTTAATGTTTTGTATATATCCTAGACAGAAATCCTTTGTTAGATATTGTGATTTGCATATATTTTTTTGTCTGTACCTTGCTTTCCATGTTTTTAACAGAGGTTTTTGCAGAGCAAAAGTTTTTAATATTAATGATCACCAGTCATTAATTTTTGCTTTCAACCACCATATGCATTTTAAAGAACTTAAGAGGAGAAAAACTGTTATTCAGATATCTGTCCTTTTCATTCATTTTTTTCCAACCCAGAAGCTTCAAATTCCCCTCTGGTACTAGTTCCCTTCCACTTAAAGAGCATCCTTTTGCATTTTTAAAAAAGATCAATAGGTGAAGAATTCTTAAAGAATAGAATGGAAATGAATAAATATTTTGAATTGAATGATAATGAAAATAAATTGTATCTTTATATTGTGTCTATATGAGATGATGGATGTTAGCAGCTATCACCTACTGTGATAATCATTTCACAAAATATGTCAATCAAGCCATCATGCTGTATGCCCTAAATATATACAGTGATGTATGCCAATTATCTTTCAATAAAACTGGGGAAAAAAAGCATATGTTTGCTTCCCAATTTGTCACTAAATTTAAATGGATTTTTAAATGGCAAAAATGAAAAAAATGTGTATCATCATGTATGAGATGTTTAGAGGGAAATTTGTAATTTTAAAATCTTATGTTAGAAGAAAAAAAGTAAGATTTAAAATCAATGATCTATGCTTCTAATCCCAAAAGACAGGGGAAAAAAGGAAGTGAAATATATCCAAAGTAACTAGAAGGCAGGAGATAATAAAGTGAAAAACAGAAATTGGTGAAGTACAGACTAAGAAAACAAAACTAAAAATAAAGCCAAAAGTAGGCTCTGTTACAAGATGATTAATATGTTAACTCTATCAAGATTAATCACCAAAAAAGAGAAAAACATTATATAGGTAATTATGGAAGTAATATAACTACATATCTTGGAGATTTTCAAAGACAAATGAAGAAATAATATTAAAAACTCTAGGCTAATAAATTTGGTAAGTTAGTTGAAAAGGACAAGTTCTAGGGGGAAAAAAAACACTCCTTACCAAAACAGATCCAATAAAATTAAAGAAATTATTAATATCCCTATAGCTATTAAAGAAATTGAAATCTTAATAAAAAATCTTCCAAAATGAAAATTCCTGGCTCAGAAAGTTGTACTGGTGAATTCTATCAAACAGTTAAAGAAAAAATAATATTGATATTACACAAGCACTTTCAGAAAATAAAGGAAGATGTGACCCACTCCCACTCATTTTATTAGGTCAGTATAGCCTTGATACCAAAATTTGATAAATACATTATAAAAAAGAAAAACTGCAGACCAATCACTGTAATCTCTCTCTATAAATGGTCTAAAGCATAAAAATGATATGTCTCTATCAATTGATAGAGAAAAGGCATTTGACAAAATTAAATATCAATTAGCTGTAAAAAGTCCTAAGGAAATTCCAAATAGAAAGGAAATCTTTCAGTCTGATAAAGAGCTTCTACAAAAACCTAGAGCCAACACCATATTTAATGGTAAGAGACTAAATATTTTCCCCTCAAGATTGGAAACAAGGCAGATGTATGTAAAGGAGGGCAGGGGGGCATCAAGAGTCAGGAAAGAGGACTAATAACATCATTTAACCTAACTGCCTGTGTGCTTTGTTCTCAGCATGGGCCATCCAGTTTTGAATAAACAACCCGAGGCTAAGCTTAGAAATGCGCCTGCTTTAAGTTAGATAACTAGAGGTGGGCAACAGCCTGGGGGCGTGATCCGTGATAAGTCACATAGACATGCTTGGGTAAGCAAGAGATAACAATTGAAGCGGTCAAGCAGCTGGAGTGTTTCCTGAAAGATTACAATATAGAATGTGTTTAAAAATTATTGGTTGTAGAAATGCGCGTGCTTCGGTGTGACGCTGTGAAAATCCTATATAAGCAATACCTAAAGTTGCCTGGGGGTCGACAGCTCGGACTCGGCCTGCGTGTCAGGGGAGGTGCTGTCGACCCCAGCTTGCTGGCTGAATAAAGACTTTGCCTGTATTTACATCTCTATGCCTGTGTAGTTTGTTCTCTGGAGAAGCCTCGGAAGCCAGGACCCTAACAATGTATACTTACCACTCCCATTCAACACTGTATTGGAAATTCTAGCCAGTGCAATGAAGCAAGAAAAAAATAAAACATATATAGATTGAAAGGGAATGAATAAACCTAATTCATTTGTAGATGACATTCCTACCCATGTAGAAAATCCGAGGGAGTACACAACAAAACCCAACAAAAAGCTCCTAAAGCTCAGTTTAGCAAGGTCAAGGATACAAGTTCACACAAAAATCAGTTGTATTTCTATGTTCTAGCAAAGAATTATTAGAAATCAACAATTTTTAAAGTACGATTTACAATACTTGTGGGAGGAAAGCTTAACAACTTGGCTGGGAACAGCAGAGTGTAAGAGTCATGTGAGGCTAGTGCAGAAAACTGCTGAAGCCTTCTGGGAGGATACTCCAAGACAAAGGTTAGCTGAGGGCAGTATTTACTCGTAAACAGGAAAACCTTTAACCAGAACACTCAGGAGAACATTCTGAGAAAAAGCACTTACCGGGAACTGGGCTATTAAAAACAGATGTACTCTTCACGCTGCATGTAGCATAAGGACTTCAAAAGAACTGATTAACAATGCTTGGCACGCTATGTCCCACATGGGCCTATAATAAAGCCGAACCCAGGTGTCTCAGGACACTTTGGCTCTTATAATCTGCCTAAATCTTCTCTCGAGTCTTTAAGCCAATCCCTTCCACACCGGGGGATGGGTAGGAAAGTGACAAACATTATTAAAGTATCAAAAAATCATGAAGCAATAAGTATAAATTTTAAAATGTATGCCAAGTCTTTATGCTGATAACTGCAAAATATTTTTGAAAGAAATCAAAACATAAACAAATAAGAGATATACGCTGATCATGGACTGGAAGACTCAATATTGGCAAGAAGTCAACTGCTCTCAAAATAACCTATAAATTTACCGTAAGTCAAATCAAAATACTTGATGGAATTTTTTTATTCTTTGAAAATTGACAAGCTGATTCTTTATATAGAATCTATATACTATTTTATATATGATTCTATATATTCGTTATATAGAAAGCCAAATGAACTAGAATAGCAAAAGAGTTTTGAGGGAGAATAAAGTTGAAAAGTTCACACCACCTAATTTCAAGACTTTCTATAAAGCTATAATACTTTGACCAAAGCATAGACACATGTATCAACGGGACACAAGAGAGTTCAGAAACAGACCCTCTCATATATGTTGAATTGATTTTAGCCCAAGGTGCCAAAGCAATTCAGTGGGAGAAAGATAATCTTTTAAACAAACATTAATGCAGTGTCTTCACAGCAAGATTTTGAAGAAAAACATTAAACAGATCCTTACCACACATGACTTATAGAATTAATTCCAAATGAATCAATTATCTTTCAATAAAACTGGGGAAAAAAAGCATATGTTTGCTTCCCAATTTGTCACTAAATTTAAATGGATTTTTAAATGGCAAAAATGAAAAAAATGTGTATCATCATGTATGAGATGTTTAGAGGGAAATTTGTAATTTTAAAATCTTATGTTAGAAGAAAAAAAGTAAGATTTAAAATCAATGATCTATGCTTCTAATCCCAAAAGACAGGGGAAAAAAGGAAGTGAAATATATCCAAAGTAACTAGAAGGCAGGAGATAATAAAGTGAAAAACAGAAATTGGTGAAGTACAGACTAAGAAAACAAAACTAAAAATAAAGCCAAAAGTAGGCTCTGTTACAAGATGATTAATATGTTAACTCTATCAAGATTAATCACCAAAAAAGAGAAAAACATTATATAGGTAATTATGGAAGTAATATAACTACATATCTTGGAGATTTTCAAAGACAAATGAAGAAATAATATTAAAAACTCTAGGCTAATAAATTTGGTAAGTTAGTTGAAAAGGACAAGTTCTAGGGGGAAAAAAAACACTCCTTACCAAAACAGATCCAATAAAATTAAAGAAATTATTAATATCCCTATAGCTATTAAAGAAATTGAAATCTTAATAAAAAATCTTCCAAAATGAAAATTCCTGGCTCAGAAAGTTGTACTGGTGAATTCTATCAAACAGTTAAAGAAAAAATAATATTGATATTACACAAGCACTTTCAGAAAATAAAGGAAGATGTGACCCACTCCCACTCATTTTATTAGGTCAGTATAGCCTTGATACCAAAATTTGATAAATACATTATAAAAAAGAAAAACTGCAGACCAATCACTGTAATCTCTCTCTATAAATGGTCTAAAGCATAAAAATGATATGTCTCTATCAATTGATAGAGAAAAGGCATTTGACAAAATTAAATATCAATTAGCTGTAAAAAGTCCTAAGGAAATTCCAAATAGAAAGGAAATCTTTCAGTCTGATAAAGAGCTTCTACAAAAACCTAGAGCCAACACCATATTTAATGGTAAGAGACTAAATATTTTCCCCTCAAGATTGGAAACAAGGCAGATGTATGTAAAGGAGGGCAGGGGGGCATCAAGAGTCAGGAAAGAGGACTAATAACATCATTTAACCTAACTGCCTGTGTGCTTTGTTCTCAGCATGGGCCATCCAGTTTTGAATAAACAACCCGAGGCTAAGCTTAGAAATGCGCCTGCTTTAAGTTAGATAACTAGAGGTGGGCAACAGCCTGGGGGCGTGATCCGTGATAAGTCACATAGACATGCTTGGGTAAGCAAGAGATAACAATTGAAGCGGTCAAGCAGCTGGAGTGTTTCCTGAAAGATTACAATATAGAATGTGTTTAAAAATTATTGGTTGTAGAAATGCGCGTGCTTCGGTGTGACGCTGTGAAAATCCTATATAAGCAATACCTAAAGTTGCCTGGGGGTCGACAGCTCGGACTCGGCCTGCGTGTCAGGGGAGGTGCTGTCGACCCCAGCTTGCTGGCTGAATAAAGACTTTGCCTGTATTTACATCTCTATGCCTGTGTAGTTTGTTCTCTGGAGAAGCCTCGGAAGCCAGGACCCTAACAATGTATACTTACCACTCCCATTCAACACTGTATTGGAAATTCTAGCCAGTGCAATGAAGCAAGAAAAAAATAAAACATATATAGATTGAAAGGGAATGAATAAACCTAATTCATTTGTAGATGACATTCCTACCCATGTAGAAAATCCGAGGGAGTACACAACAAAACCCAACAAAAAGCTCCTAAAGCTCAGTTTAGCAAGGTCAAGGATACAAGTTCACACAAAAATCAGTTGTATTTCTATGTTCTAGCAAAGAATTATTAGAAATCAACAATTTTTAAAGTACGATT